CTGACGCGCGACCGAGGGTAGAGGGGTAACGTGGGACACACCAGACGGGGCAGGACCAGGGGGGGGCGGGGGTGGCGGAGGGGCGGGAGCAGGAGGAGGAGAGGGTGCGAGGAAAAGAGGGGGAGGGGGTACCGGGAGACCTCGACAGGGGTACCGGGTGTAGTAGGACACAAACTCGTCAAACCGGACGTCACAAGAGTCTAGGAACTGGTGGAGGGGCGGGTGGTAAAAGGACCAGTCGGCAGAGTCCACTGGGAAACCAAGGAAGACACAGGGGACGGCGCGTGCCGAGAGCTTGTCCGCGGAGGTGTCGCAAACAAGCGCAAGGCAGCCCCAGACTCGAAAGGCCGACCCGACACCAGGGGAACCAGTCCAAAGACTGGTCGGTGAAGCCTCGGGCCGCGAGACACGCGGCTGGAGGTTCAGCTGGTGTGCGGCGTAGCGAATCGCGTGAGGCCACAGAAAATGGGGCGCACGGGCATGGATCATGGACGTGCGGGCGATGTCCATGACCAAGCCTATGCGGCGCTCAGCAACCCCATTCTGTTGTGGGGAGTTTGGCAGCGTCCAGGACTGGGTGATGCCCTGTTCGCCGCAGAATCCGCCGAGAATGCCGGAGCGAAACTCGCCCCCACGGTCAGAGTGGAGACAACTGAATCGACGACCACGAGTGCCCTCAGTGGCTAGAAGCCACCTGATCAGCGTAGCAGTCACCTCGGACTTCTTCGCAAGAGGGAACACTGTGGTGTACCTGGAGAAGTCGTCGACGACCACCAGAAAGTAACGCTCCCTTCCAGACCCCTGCGTCGGGGCAGGGCCCCAGACGTCCAAGTGGAGAGTCTCGAAGGGAGCGGTGGCCGGACGAAGGAAGGAGGAGTGGGGAGTGGCGCGTAAGCGACCGGCGACGCACGGAGAGAAAGGAGGGGCAGGCGAGAGAGGGAGCGACGGGCAGGTGCGTGGGAGACCTAAGACAAGTCCCTGACTGAGCATGCTACGTAGGCGAGGGAGCGACGGGTGGCCAAGGCGGTGGTGCCACAGGACGGTGCGGTGGGTGAGAGAGCGACAGGAGCACGACGCAGCGACGGGACTGGACACAGCGACCGGACCGGACACTACTGCCTGACTAGACACAGCAACTGGACTGGGGACCTGGGCCGAAGGGGACGCAACGACCTGAGGGGAGGACGCAACCGGGGAGCGCTCGGTGTGGAGGACGTAGAGACCGGAGCGGGGCTCCCGGGTGAACGTGGCCAGAACAGCACCTGTGGTAGCGTCTGTACAGACTGCAGTCCGCCCAAGGTAACCGTGATCCCCCTGTCCTGGAGGTATCCAACACCCACCAAGTTCCGAGTGAACGAGGGGATGTGGAGGCCGCGCAGGACACCAGAGGGGACCACAGGGCAGGGGAGGGTGGTGGAGCTGCGCGCAACGGCTGGTCCAGAGGTGGGATCAGCCAGAGCCACCGACACAGGGGTGAGGAGTGGTGTAAGGGTCGTGTGGTCGCGGAAGAAGCACTGAGACGCGCCCGAGTCCAGCGTGAACGACAGAGAGGCCTCAGCCGGAGGGTCACCTGACTCAGTCGCTACACAAGCACCTAGAGCAGCAACACAAGCACCTAAGCTAGACAGGCACAAGGCTACACTAGCGGGAGGCAAGCAGGCTAACCTACGAACACGCGAGCACACAGATCCATCAGCACTATAGTCAGCATCAACATACAAAGAATGCTGACGCGCATCGTCCATGGACAGATCAAAGACATCAATCTTACGGGCTAACAGACGAGACCAGCGAGGCGTGACCGCCAGAGGGCCCCAACGAGCCCGGTAGAGGTCGTCGAGGCGGCGGAAGCACCGCGCGACAGAGTGGTCGTCGCGACCATAGAGACAGGGGCTGCCCGGCCCGGTGACGCACCAGTGGGTGCAGGGGCCAGCGTCACGGCGAGGGGGGCGAGGGGCCCAGCTGGAAGAGCTGCTGCTGTGGACGGTGCTCCCAGGGCCTCCCGGACCCCACTGCGGCGGGGGACCCCAGTGCTGCTGCGGACCCCACTGCAGTGGGGGCCCCCACTGCTGGAACTGCTGCGGTGCCTGCTGCTGCTGCTGCTGTCCCAGCTGCTGCTGCTGTCCCTGCTGTGGCTGGTGCTGCTGTGGCGGCTGCTGCTGGGGGGCAACGCCCCCGCCGGTCGGGCCACCACTTGTGGGTGGGCCTGTCTGTCCTGCACCTCCTCCAAGGCCCCCTCCCCCTGGTGCACCACCGCCGCCGCCGCTGCCGCCTCCGCCACCACCGCCGCTCCCACCTCCACCGCCACCTCCACCGCCGCCTCCACCGCCCCCACCTCCCCCCTTCCCGCCCTTCTTGCCACTCTTGCCCCGTTTCTGCCAGTCTGCGGCAGAAACGGCAGCAGTGTCCTCAGAGACCGACACAGCAGCAGAAGCGCGGGTAGCGGTGAAAGTGGGAAGCTGAGGGGCAGCACACCCCGCAAAGAGACGGGGGGCCACCACATCAGTGGCAGAGGCAACGGTGAGGAGACTGCTCTCGATGGTCCCTAGAGCAGTCGCTAGGAGGTCGATAGTGAGCTCAGTGGGGTGCTTCTGAAGAAGCGCGTCACGGGCAGTGGCAAGGCGGTCAGGGAGGCGGGTGACTAACCAGTGAAGAGTGAGCCACATGGGGGGGGGAGCAACAAGAAGCTGTGCGTCGGTACAGGCAGCGCGGAAACCGGCGTCAAGCGAGCGGAGGTGAGTCACTAGGTCGGAAACAGTCGCAAACGAGCCTAGGTCGGGAAACACAAACGGCATGAGGAGGCGACTGAGGGAGGCAGAGGAGGGGGTGGAGTAGCGAGCAACAATAGCCTCCCAAACCCCCTGTGCAATCTCCACCTGGTCAAAGTGGGCGGCCTCAGTCGGGGGGAGAAGCTCCGACAGAGTGAGAGCGGAGGCTGCGTCACGCGAGAGCCACACGTCCCTGGCCAGGACCCGACGGTCGTAGTCCGCCTGGGCCGTAGGGGTCGGCTCCGGGGCGGTCGGCAGGGTGGCGGGGGACGGGGGGGCCTGTAGAGCACCAGACGCGTGAGCCCACAGAGTGGCGCCGTCCTGCCGCTGGCTGGTGAGGAAGCGCGTGGTCTGGCGCTGCCAGGAGCTAAACTCTATTGGGCGTCCCTCCGCGTCAAAACGGAGGCGACGAGACTCCATGACTGATGCCATGCTAGAGGCGGCTGGAGCTCGGCAGAGGCTGAGCTAAGAACGAGGAGGAAACCTACGGAGCGCCAGGAGGGAGAACGGCGGAGTACTGCTAGAGCACGGAGGAAAACAGAGCTAGGAACGCCAGTCTAGTAAACGGCTGGAGGAGGCAGGTCTGATGAGCCGATCGAGGAGCCAGAGAGTCGTTCGAGGGGCTGGCGGAGCGAGGAGAGACCTAGCTAACAACGAACGTCAAGGCTACCCTAAACAGCTAAGCGGAGCGGCCTCCAGCCGCGACGGTGCGAAACACTGTGGAATGAGTGACGCGAGTGACGAACCAACGGAGGTCGGGTGGTCCTAGGTGGTGTGCGCGCGAGATAAGGGGATGTGAGCGGTTGGAAGGGGCTGCGAGCGGTTGGAACGGGCTGTGAGCGGTTGGAACGGGCTGTGAGCGGTTGGAACGGGCTGTGAGCGGTTGGAAGGGGCTGTGAGCGGCTGGAAGGGGCTGTGAGCGGGTGGGAGGTGCTAGCTGGCGCCAACTGCTGGCGGCTAGGTTCCGGTGGCTAGCTGTTGCTGGCGGCTAGCTTCTGCCTAGCCGTGCTGCTGCTGCAGGAGCACGCGCTGCTGCCTAGCCGTGCTTCTACTGCAATGCACGCGCTGCTGCCTAGTCGTGCTGCTGCAGCAATGCACGTGCTGCTGCTGTAATGTGCGTGCTGCAGTGGCGTGCTGCAGTGGCGTGCGCGGCTGCCGCTGGCTAACGCGCGCGCTGCTGCGGGCTAAGGACGACTACGCGGGCCCGCGGGTGGGGGGGGGGGGGGGAGATTCCCCTCTGGAGCGCGACGAAACGAGGGGCCAGCGGGGCCCTTTAAGCGCGACGAAAAACGAGGCCCGCGGGGGCCCGTAAACGTGACGAAAACGAGGCCCGCGGGGGCCCTTAAACGCGACGAAAACGAGGCCCGCGGGGGCCGTCCTACCCGCGACGAAACGGGGCCTAAGGGACGGGCGCCTCGGGACTGGCTAAGGGAGGGAGCGGAAGCGTGGGAGGGATTAAAACCTACTCTAATACCATCTTAAACTAGGCTAGGAGAGAAGTATCGAAAGTGTTGTTCGAGTAGTGAGAGGCAAGGGATACAAGTGTCGACCTAAAGTGTTGTACCCTTTAGAGGGCAACTCACTGTAGCCTAGACTAACAATATAAAGAATATATAACATTTGACACAAAGGGGTGAACTGCACGCCCCGGTTGCGTGCAAGCAGAGGCGCGTAATCACTCGTTTTGCGACGCTCCCATTCCCTTGCCGCCACACCTATTTGACGCCCGCACTGTCCCAACAGTGATGGAGACAGCGATAGCGGGTCCGCGACGCTGATCTCTAGGGCGTGAGCCTCTCCAGCCATTGGACGTTGCACCGCCATATCAACCCGCTTCCCTTGCAGCACCACACTATCCTCCAATGTCACCACCCCCCCCGACGCCTTAGAGATCTTCGCCACCGCAAACTTCACCTCATCATGCACCCGAGAAGGACCATGCTGGTGCCTGCATCTCAGGGCATGGTGCGGGTCTGCTTGTTCAACATACGCTGTGCCACAAACACACCTCCTCGCCACCTACAGCTGCTGAATTGGGAGGCCGAGCCGTATAGCAGCAGCAATGCCCCACTCAGCCGCAGTGAATGTGAGATCTGAGTGAGCCGGAACCGCCGAAACCCATGCACCTGCCCCCGGGCCCTAAAGGGATGTGAAACGGGCCAAGGTAGCATCGTCACGAGCCAAGCGGCGCAGTGCCTGGAGCTCCTCTACAGCTAACTGCCGCTGACGCGCCTAGAAAAGCCGAACAGGAGGGGCCGCTACACACAGAGGTAAGCCTGGTATCTCGTGGCGGATAGTCGCTGGCAGCTGCTCGAGAGCCTTGACAAACCACGGGTCAAGAAACTCTGCCCCTGTCGAAGTGGTGAGGTACTCAGCAAACATCGCCTCCTCACCCGCCACCCCTAACTGTGCAATGTCCCGCGCGGCCTGCGCCCACCCGCAAACATAGGACAGTGGGCTCAAAGAGGCCGCCGCCCGGATCCCGAACCCACCGAGACGCACAGGGAGATGCAGCTGCATGCGTGCGCGCCTAGACCGGTCGGGGTCCTGCTCCCAAGTGCCATGTGGGAAAAGCTGCTCAAAGCAATCCTCTAAACAGCTGTCCCGATCCCTAAAAGCCTCAACCACCTCCGGACGCGGCGGCATAGTCCGGGCGAGGTACATCGGCCGCGCTGAAACTGCAATGGCGAGGAGGTGTGAAGCCATCTGGGGGTGGTCGAGCAAGGGGAGCCATGGCTGTGGCGCCTGCAACTGTTGAAGCCGCTCCCGTAGCCGGACCACCTCCCAAACCTCCTCTCCAATAGGCACGCCCACCACAGTAAGACCCTCATCCACCCGCTGCATCCCCAATGGCAGTGCCCGCTCCACCTCCTTGCCCTCGCGCTCCCAAAACCGGCACTTGTGCGCCTGCACCTCCAGCCCTACACACTCCAACCGCTCCCGCAGCACCCCAAAAGCCTCTAGAATCCTAGCCGCTGGCCCCAAAATATAGGTATCGTCTGCATAGCTGAGGAAAAGCAGGTCCTTGAACTCCCTAGTAACCGGCTCCATCACCTGCTGCTGCGTGAACGCGAAAAGAAAAGGGCCGAGCGAGTCCCTCTGCCTCGATCCCCGTGCTGACTCGAGGCTCTGTACGAAAGGGCCCGCTCGGAGGTACAGGTCGCTAGGTGTCCCATAAAAGACACGCAAGAATGGGATCATCCCTGAGAAAGGCGACTCCCGCAGCCCATCGAACATCACATGACGGTGAAACGAATTGAAGGCATTTGCGACGTCTATCTGTAGCGCACACCAGTCGGGGTGAGTGGCCAGCGCTGACCAGAAAGAATGAGTGAGAATCTCCGCCCCGACCCTGGTGCCTGCTCCCAGCTGGTTGCACGGCAGGAATTAGGAAACCATCGCAGGGCGGAGCGAGATGCAGAGAGCTCGAGCAAGGATACGAGGAAGCACCTCCCCGATCGCCACCGGCCGGACATCGCCGTTAGGCTTGGAAAGCCCGACTAGGTTGGATGCGGCGAGCCACGGCCGAGCCCGCTCGGGGACCTGTCCCGCCACCCATTGGTTGAACACTTCCAAGAGGTGGGAGAGGCAGGTAGGTTCAGTGAGGAAGGTGTCGCGCAGATGCTCTGTGACCCACCCCGATGGCCCTGCTGCTGAGGCTCGAGCGGCTGTATGGATAGCTCTGGCCAGGATGTTGGTCGTGAGTGAAGGCCGCTGAGCGGTATCGATGGTGAAATCGCGGACCCACTATGGTACCTCGCCTGCGCTAGCCGGGTGCTTCTCTTGCAGCGACTGCACCATGACCTCAGACGGTCGAGCCAACTCCCCTGCTGTAAGGCAGGCCAATCCTCGGCTCCACTCCCCCACTTTGCACCGAGATCAGCACCGTGACAGGCGGATGGCATCCGGGTCATGGTCAGAGCGAGTGTAGGAAAGTGGGCGAACTGCTGGCCGCGCTGCCGCCATGGCAGAGTCGAACAGCTCCCGCCACCTCCCCTCCCCGAACGCACCCAACCGCTCAGTGATCAGCGCCTTCTGACCTATGCCTGGCTTGGGAGGCATGGCTAGGATGAGGCACGGGAACGCCAAGAGTAGGAGGGTAGCGGCTTCATCTCCCGTCTGGCTCTTCAAGCGCTTAAGGATGCAACAGAGCGCGTCTAAGACCCCCGACGTGGCCCGCTGTGGGATCCGGCGAACTGTCCTCCCTCCAACCGCCTCCACACTGAAAAATGTTTCCCATTCCTATGACGTAACCCCAGCCCACGCCTCGTCCCCGAATTCCCGCGGCGTCGATCGCTCCTGCGTGTCGGTCTCCACCAGAGACGGAATTGAGCCGAGAGCCTGTGCACGCCTCTCCGCCTCAGCCGCTCGGCATACCCTCATGTGGTTCGCAGTGGCCCCCCGCGTAGCGAAATTGTGGAAACACGTGTCGCACGGGAAGCGGGGCAATGGGGAAGGCGGCATGGGAGGTTCTTCGTCCGCCTCTGACTCCTCCGCAGTCGCCATGGGGGTATCAAGCTCCAGAAGTCGACACCACTCCTCCAAGTGTTGCTCCTGGTCGTCCATCGATCTCCCCCCTGCTTGCTGCGCTCCTTGGGGTGCCCAGGGCACCCTCGGCTGCCCCCCTGGCTGCTGCGCTCCCTGGGGTGCCCCGGTCACCCCCGGCTGCCCCCCTGCCTGCTGCTCTCCCTGGGGTGCTCTGGGCACCCTCGGCTGCCCTCTTGCCTGCTGTACTCCCTGCCCTCTTGCCTGATGCACTCCCTGGGGTTCCCCAGGCACCATCGGCTGCCCTCCTGCCTGCTGCACTCCCTGGGGTGCTCCGGTCACCCCCGGCTGCTCCCCTGCCTGCTGCTCGCCCTGGGGTGCTCGGGTCACCCCCGGCTGCCCCCCTAGCTGCTGCTCCCCCTGGGGTGCTCCGGTCACCCCCGGCTGCCCCCCAGCCTGCTGCTCTCCCTGGGGTGCTCCAGGCATCCTCGGTTGCCCTCCTACCTGCTGCACTCCCTGGGGTGCCCCGGGCACCCTCAGCTGCCCTCCTGCCTGCTGCACTCCCTGGGGTGCCCCGGGCACCCTCGGCTGCCCTCCTGCCTGCTGCACTCCCTGGGATGCCCCGGGCACCCCCGGCTGCCCTCCTGCTTGCTGCACTCCGTAGGGTGCTCCGGGCACCCCTGGCTCCCCACCTGCCCGCTGCACTCCCTGGGGTGCCCCGGGCACCCTCGGCTGCCCTCCTGCCTGCTGCACTCCCTGGGGTGCTCCGGGCACTCCCGGCTGCCCCCCTGCCTGCTGCACCCCCTGGGGTGCCCCGGGCACCCCCGGTTGCCCCCCTGCCTGCTGCACTCCCTGGGGTGCCCCGGGCACCCCCGGCTGCCCTCCTGCCTGCTGCACTCCCTGGGGTGCCCCGGGCACCCTCGGCTGCCTTCCTGCCTGCTGCACTCCCTGGGGTGCCCCAGGCACCCTCGGCTGCCCTCCTGCCTGCTGCACTCCCTGGGGCGCCCCGGGCACCCCCGGCTGCCCCCCTGCCTGCTGCACTCCCTGGGGTGCCCCGGGCACCCCCGGCTGCCCCCCTGCCTGCTGCACTCCCTGGGGTGCCCCGGGCACCCCCGGCTGCCCTCCTGCCTGCTGCGCTCCCTGGGGTGCCCCGGACACCCTCGGCTGCCCTCCTGCCTGCTGCACTCCCTGGGGTGCCCCGGGCACCCCCAGCTGCCCCCCTGCCTGCTGCACTCCCTGGGGTGCCCCGGGCACCCTCGGCTGCCCTCCTGCCTGCTGCACTCCCTGGGGTGCTCCGGGTACCCTCGGCTGCCCTCCTGCCTGCTGCACTCCCTGGGGTGCCCCGGGCACCCCCTGCTGCCCTCCTGCCTGCTGCACTCCCTGGGGTGCCCAGGGCACCCTCGGCTGCCCTCCTGCCTGCTGTACTCCCTGGGGTGCCCCGAGCACCCTCGGCTGCCCTCCTGCCTGCTGCGCTCCCTGGGGTGCCCCGGGCACCCTCAGCTGCCCTCCTGCCTGCTGCACTCTCTGGGGAGCCCCGGGCACCCCCGGCTGCCCCCCTGCCTGCTGCACTCCCTGGGGTGCCCCGGGCACCCTCGGCTGCCCCCCTGCCTGCTGCCCTCCCTGGGGTGCTCCGGGTACCCTCGGCTGCCCTCCTGCCTGCTGCACTCCCTGGGGTGCCCCGGGCACCCCCTGCTGCCCTCCTGCCTGCTGCACTCCCTGGGGTGCCCCGGGCAATCTCGGCTGCCCTCCTGCCTGCTGCACTCCCTGGGGTGCCCGGGGCACCCTCGGCTGCCCTCCTGCCTGCTGCGCTCCCTGGGGTGCCCCGGGCACCCTCAGCTGCCCTCCTGCCTGCTGCACTCCCTGGGGAGCCCCGGGCACCCCCGGCTGCCCCCCTGCCTGCTGCACTCCCTGGGGTGCCCCGGGCACCCCCGGCTGCCCCCCTGCCTGCTGCACTCCCTGGGGTGCTCCGGGCACCCTCGGCTGCCCCCCTGCCTGCAGCACTTCCTGGGGTGCCCCAGGCACCCCCGGCTGCCCCCCTGCCTGCTGCACTCCCTGGGGTGCCCCGGGCACCCCCGGCTGCCCCCCTGGCTGCTGCTCTCCTTGGGGCGCCCCGGGCACCCAGGGCTGCCCCCCCACCCGCGGAGCTCCCGGGGGTGTCTCGGTCGCCCCCGGCTGCCCCTCCGCCTGCTGGGCGGCAGCTCCGCTTCCAGTTCGGCCTTGCGTCTTACGGGTGTGTCGTCTCCCGCCTCGGCCCCGTGCCCGGGTTCTCTTCGCTTGGCTTGTAGAGTCCGCACTAGCGACCTCCAGCTGCCCCCGCGCCGGCAGCTCCCGCCGCTCCCCCTCCGACAGCTCCTGCTGCCCTCCCCCCGACAGCCCCAGCTGCCCTCTTGTTGGCAGCTCTTGCCGCTCCTCCCTCGGCAGCTCCTGCTGCCCTCCTGCCTGCAGCCGGACCTGGTTCCCTGATTGGTCCTGCTGCACCTCTGGCAGTAGCTCGGCCATCTCCACATCCACCGCTTGCTGCTCCCTTGCCGGCAGCTGCCCCACCCCCGGCGGCTTCTGCTGCTCTTCCCTTGGCAGCTCAAGCTGCTCTCCCCCGGGCGGCCCCTGCTGCCCTCCTGCCTGTGGCCAGGCCTGGTTTCCCGATTGGTCCTGCTGTGACTCTGGCTGTAGCTCGGCCATCTCCACTTCTACCGCTTGCTGCTCCCTTGCTTGCTGCTCCCTTGCCGGCAGCTCCTGCTGCTCTTCCCTTGGCAGCTCACGCTGCTCTCCCCCGGGCGGCTCGTGCTGCCCTCCTGCGTGTGGCCGGGCCCGGTTCCCCGAGTGGTCCTGCTGCACCTCTGGCTGTAGCTCGGCCATCTCCACTTCTACCATTTGCTGCCCCCCAGCCGATAGCTCCTGCTGCCCTCTCGCCGGCACCTCCTGCTGCCCTCTCGCCGGCACCTCCTGCTGCCCTCTCGCCGGCACCTCTTGCTGCCCTCTCGCCGGCGCCTCCTGCTGCCCTCCCGCTGGCACCTCCTGCTGCCCTCCCGCTGGCACCTCCTGCTGCCCTCCCGCTGGCACCTCCTGCTGCCCTCCCGCTGGCACCTCCCGCTGCCCTCCTGCCTGCAGCTCCTGCTGCCCCCCCGCCGGCAGCTCCAGCTGCCCTCCCGCCGGCCGCTCCTGCTGCTCTCCCTTCGACAGTACCTGCTGCTCGCCTGCCGACTGCGCCTGCTGCCCTCTTGCCTGCGGCTCTTGCTGCCCTCTCGCCGGTAGCTCCTGCTCCCCTCTTGCCGGCAGCTCCTGCTGCCCTCCCGCCGGCCGCACTTGCTGCTCCCTTGCTTGTGGCTTCTGGGCCTCCCCCAACAGCCAGTTCTGCTGCCCCCCCTCCTGCCTCGAGGGCTGGGTCCCCGCTGGACTCCATTGCTGCACTTCCGCCCGAGCTCTCCGTCTCTGTTCCTGCCTTTGGGCCAGGCGAGGCCCGCGCGGAGCTGTGAGGGCTGGGCGTGCCAAAGGATTTCCCAGGGCCCTCCGCCGCCTATCATGAGACTCCTGCAGTCGCCGGTGGTGTGCCTCCCATGCAGCCATCGCCGCATCATCACCGGTACCTTGCCTATGCACCCCATGACCGCACTCGCCCTCGTCCGTCACGTTTAGGTCCCGGCTGGAGATGGTGTCGCTGCCGCATACAAAGCCGCCGAGAGTGTCTTTGGGTGGTTCCTCTATCCCCCTCCCTGTCGAGAGGGGTCCATACCTTTGTCGCTTGCTGGGCTTGCCAAAAAGGCAGAGTGCATCCTTGTGGTGGAGGCGACAGAGTTGTGGGTATTGCATACTCGGTGCTGCCTCCCTGGGTCTCTTGTGGCCAATCCTCGCGATGATCTTCCTCCCCCGGTCTGGGGGGTCTGGATTGTTGTTCATGGCGTAAGCTGTTTGCGGGCAGCGCTGGAGGGGCGCCTCCCGCCTTCGATATAAGGTTCACAGTCCGAGTGAGTCGAAGGTGTTGGGCGTCGCTGGCGCACTGAGACTCCCCTATACGCTGGACGCTCCTACCTGCAGGTGTTGGTACCTAGGCGCGGGTCTCGCTTTGTGGCCCTCCCTACATGCGGTAGTCGCTGCCTAGGCACGAGCTTCGCTGCGATGGCGCTCCTACGCGCGAGTATAGCTGCCTCGGCACTGATCCCTCCGCCACAACGCGGATTTCGTTGCTACGGCGCGGGTTTCACTGTTACATGGCGGACTTCACTGCTCTTTGCCCGGACTTTGCTGCTACGGCGTGCACTTCGCTGCTACGGCACGCACTTCGCTGCCACGGCGTGCACTTCGCTGCTACGGCGCGCACTTCGCTGCTACGGCGCGCACTTCGCTGCTACGGAGCGGATTTCGCTGCTACGGCGCGGGTTTCGCTGCCGAGGCACCGGATTGCGCTGCTACGGCGCGCAATTCGCCGCTACGGCGCACAATTCGCCGCTACGGCGCACAATTCGCTCCTACGGCGCGCACTTCGCTGCTACAGCGCGCACTTCGACGCTACAGCGCGGGCTTCGCTGCTACGGCGCGGATTTCGCTGCTACGGCGCGGATTTCGCTGCTACGGCGCAGATGTCGCTTCTACATCGCGGGTTTTACTGCCTAGGCGTGGATGTCGCTGCTACAACGGGGATTTCGCTGCCACGGCGCGAATTTCACTGCTACGGCGTGGATTTCGCTGCTACGGCGCGATTTTCGCTGCTGCGGTGCGGATTTTGCTGTTACGGCGCGGGTTCCACTGCCTAGCTGCGCGCTGCTACCTGCAGTTCGCGGGCTAAGCGGCTAAATCACCGGCTGGTCACCAAGATCGCTGCTTTGCAGCTAGGTCGCGGGCGGGGCGGCTAAATCGCTGGCTAAGCGGCTAATGTCAAATTATAATGTTGTCTAGGCTTTAGTGGGGTAGCCCATATGGGGTACACATTTCTAGGGTTGCACATTTGTATCACTTTCATTCCAAAGTGATCTCATTCTCGCTCTAATTTCCTCATGGTATCGAGCAGGTTCCCCCGTGGGAACTGTGCCTAGGGCCCACCACATCGAGTTTTTTTTTCCTGCCCAAAGCGCGCTCAGCCCGAGTCGCGCTCTGGGCTCTCACTTCGTCGAGCCGCCCTAGCGGCCCCAACGCCCTAGCGGCCCCGCAGCCCGTTGATTCGGCCCCGCCGCCCTTCGCTGCGGCCCCGCCGCCCTTTGCTGCGGCTCCGCCGCCCTTCGCTGCGGCCCCGCAGCCCTTCACTACGGCCCCGCCGCCCTTCACTGCGGCCCCCCCGCCCGTCTCAGCGGCCCCGCCGCCCTTTGCTGCGGCCCCGCCGCCTCTCTCGCTGCGGCCCCGCCGCCCTTCGCTGCGGCCCCGCCGCCCGTCTCAGCGGCCCCGCTGCCCTTCGCTACGGCCCCGCCGCCCTTCGCTACGGCCCCGCCGCCCTTCGCTGCGGCCCCGCCGCCTCACATTGCGGCCCCGCCGCCTCACACTGAGGCCCCGCCGCCCGTCTCAGCGGCCTCGCCGCCCTTCGCTGCGGCCCCGCCGCCTCTCTTGTTGCGGCCCCGCCACCCTTCTCAGCGGCCCCTCCGCCCTTCTCTGCGGCCCCGCCGCCTCTCTCACTGCGGCCCCGCCGCCCTTCTCAGCGGCCCCGCCGCCCTTCACGGCAGCCCCGCCGCCCTTCATTCCGGCCCCGCCGCCCCTCCCACTGCGGCCCCGCCACCTACCTTGCGGCCCTGCCGCCCTACCAGCGGCCATACCGCCCTACACCGCCCGCGCCGCCTGAGCCGCCCGAGCCGCCCGAGCCGCCCGAGCCGCCTGAGCCGCTGAGGAGCCGAGTCGCCCGAGCAACCCGAGCCGCCCGACCTGCCCGAGCCGCCCGAGCCGCCTGAGCCGCTGAGGAACCGAGCCGCCCAAGCCGCCCGACCCGCCCGAGCTGCCCGAGCCGCCCGAGCCGCCTGAGGAGCCGAGCCGACGGTGCCGCGGAGCCGCAGTTGCTGCTGAGCCGTCCGAGCAGCCGTGTTGCCGTGTTGCTGTGCTAATGAGCTGCCCAAACCGCCCTGTCTGGTGAGAGCAGCGCTTCTGTCACTGCACTGCCCCTGTCCTACAGTTGGTACAGCTAGTCTACTGCTGTCATGGCTACCCCTAGTGTCCTCGCGTTTGACGCTGAGGGTCGAGCCATTGACTTTGAGGTCTGGGTCGACGACCTGCAGCTGTTCTTACAGTACGATAGGGCAGACGGTCTCTCTCTCTTTGACCTCACCTCTGGCGCCTCTCCTGCCCCTGCTGCTGATGCTGACCCCATTGTTCGCTCCCAGTGGGCCACGCGCGATGCTGCTGCACGTCTTGCTGTGCGTCGCCACCTGCCTACCACTAAGCGCGCGCACTTTAGTCAGTACAAGAGTGCTCAGACCTTGTACGACGCTGTAGTTGCGCGCTACTCTTCCCCTGCCACTACTGCACTGAGCCGCCTTATGCTACCGTACCTCTTCCCTGACCTTCCTGCCTTTCCCACAGTCGCTGACCTCATTACGCACCTCCGCACTAGTGACACTCGCTACCGCGCCGCGCTTCCTGCTGAGTTCTGCGCCAAGAACCCCCCCCCCCCCCCCCCATGTACATCACTCTCTATTATATAGTCACCCGCCTCCCTGACTCCCTTCGTGTAGTCAGGGACCACTTCCTCTCAGTCTGTCCCACCACTCTCACTGTTGACCTCTTAGAGAAGGCCCTCCTAGCAGCGGAGAAGAGCATAGTTGCTGTAGGAGCCTCTCGTGGTGACCCTCGCACCCCCATCTTTGAGGGGTGTTCTCCTTCCCCCCTTTTGCCCTCTATCGCCTCTATCGCTGCGGCCGACCTCGCTGGTCTTGAGTCGGTCGGTGCGGCGTCAGCCCCTAGCGGGAGACGCCGCTCTGGCAAGGGCAAGGGAGGCAAGGGCGCGGGTGGAGCTAGCGGGGGCGGTGGAGGTGGCGGTGCAGGCGGCAGAGGGAGTGGGGGTGGCGGTGGGAGTGGTGGCGGTGGGAGTGATGGCGGGGGTGGAGGTGTCGGTGGCAGCAGTGGAGGCGGAGGTGGCGGAGGCGGCGGCGGTGCTAGCGGAGGCGGTGATGGTGGCGCAGGTGGAGGAGGCGGTGGTGGAGGAGGTGGCGGTGGTCGGGGTGGCGCTTCGCAGCGGAGCAGCCCAGGTGGTGGTCAGCGCCAGCAGCAGCAGCAGCAACAGCAGCGTTCTCGGGACATTCCCCCCCCTCAGCAGCTCCGTGAGTGGTACGCGCAGCGTCAGCGTGGTGGGGGTTTTGGTCCGTGCACCTACGTCCTTCGCTCCAGTGACCGCGCGGGTGAGCAGTGTGGGGGTGCTCACCCCACCCAGCGCTGCTTTGGCCGCCTGACGGACGCTTGGCGTCAGCAGTTCCCGGAGGCCAGTGAGATCCCCCGCTGGGGAGAGCCTTCTAGGGCAGGCGTAGCTATCTATGATCTTGACTTTGATGCTATCCTTGCTGCCATGTATGCTGTGACTATTAGTGATGAGGGTGACTGTTACCGGTGTTTCCCGCCCGACCCGGGCATTGGTACTGCTGCTCTAGGTGCTGGTGAGGCTGCTACTCTAGGTGCCAGTGCGTCTGCGCCCTCAGGTGCTGGTGAGTCTGCGCTCTCAGGTACCACGTCGGCTTTGGCCTCCCTCACCTTCACACTTCACTCAGGGGCTTCTCGCTCCTTCTTCGAGACCGCACCACACTCACGCCGCTTGGTCGGCCGGTTGCAGTCTCCCTGGCAGACCCCTCTGGGGGTCCTGTCCTCTCTCACTTCTCCACTGTCCTCCCGTGTCCGGCTGCCCCCTCTGGCACCTTGTCTGGTCTTTACCTCCCCTCGTTCTCTACGAACTTGGTGAGAGGTGCTGACCTGCAGGATACGGGGGTTCACCAGTTTACTCCTGCGAGTCAGCGGGTAACCCACTGCTCGGACGCTCGCACAGGCCGGCACCTGGCCACGTTTACGCGTCGGCCGGGGTCGAGCCTCTACACCCAGACCACTGGGTCTCCTCCTATCCCTGCGTCTAGCCAGGTAGCTGCGTCGGGTCAGGTGTTTGCTGCAGCGTCCATGTCTGGTCCTGAGTCTGCCCCCTGCTCGTGTCGCCTCCTGTCTCACGAGACTCTCCTGTGGCACCACCGTCTTGGTCACCCCTCCCTGCCTCGTCTCCGAGGCATGGCTTCCCGTGTCCTTGTCTCTGGTCTCCCCCGGTCCCTCCCTCCCCTTCCTCTAGGGCCTGGTCCTTCCTGTGTTCCCTGTGTCAAGGGGCGGCTCCGGGCTGCCCCTCACTCCTCTCAGTTTCCCTCGACAGAGGCCCCGCTGCAGACACTTCACATGGACGTGTGGGGCCCGGCCCGCGTCCGTGGACAGGGTCACGAGCGCGACTTCCTGCTGGTGGTTGACGACTACTCGCGTTACACCTCAGTCTTCCCCTTGCGCAGCAAGGGTGATGTCACTGAGGTGTTGATCGACTGGATCCGCGCAGCTCGTCTCCAGCTCAGGAGGAGCTTCGGCTCGGACTTTCCTGTTCTGCGTCTGCACTCTGACCGAGGCGGAGAGTTCTCCTCTGGTCTTCTGTGAGCCCACTGCCGTGCGCGAGGCATCCGCCAGACCTTTACGCTTCCGGACTCTCCACAGCAAAATGGGATTGCTGAGCGCCGCATTGGCATGGTCATGGACGTCGCTCGTACGTCCATGATGCATGCGGCTGCCCCCCATTTTCTGTGGCCGTTTGCGGTTCGGTACGCGGCGCATCAGATCAACCTTCACCCCAGGGTCTCCATGCCGCAGACCTCCCCAGCTCTGCTGTG